TTTTTTTAGCAAAGGTGGATATAGCTTCTTCACCAAAATCACGATTATTAATTTTTATGTCCCTCCTGTCTTTCACATAAGGATTTTATGTTTAAAAATGGTTCACACATCTCTAGAGCTATCACCGTGTTTATATACTAGAGAGGGAAAAAATGTCAGGAAAAGACTGAAGGTCAAATCTTTAAGGCTGCATTTGAGTTAGAGTAGCTTAGCCGCCCAATGATGTGTAACCTTCAATTCCCACAAAAAGAGTGGGAGACCAGGAATGGGAAATTAAAACCCAGTGTATCTGTCAAAGCTGTTCTTTCACCCGGTTTTAATATGCTATTCACATTCTGGCTGTTGATAAAATTAGATTTAATTAATCACCAGGCTCCGTTTAGTGAAATATACTGTGATTGGTTCTGTAATTGAAAACTATTGGCATAAAATGGAAAGGTCAGCTTAAATGGCATTAGACAGAGAAGATAATCTGTTTGTCCAATTTCAAAGTTTTTGGTTCAGAGGAAAAAAATGAGGTCATTATTTGAATTTGAAATAGTTCATTAAAACCTCTCGTAAGTCTTCCCTCCTCTACTCTTGTTCCCAGTCTCCCACCCTGGGAAGAGCTTCTGTGCATACCTGAATTATTTAAATATGCTTTCACCACTGGAGGAAACATCAGAGTTCATTCAAGCAAAACCAGGGGAAGGACAAGACCTGTTCATAAATTCATCATTCCTAATAGTTTCTCTCGTAACTTTAACTGTACCAATCACGTTGAACTTAAAATTTCATCACCAATCTGAGAAAATGATACTAATCTTGATTGTTTTAATAATCTGTAACTATTTCAGTTATTTGTCCACTTAAAATTGCAGTGAGGTGTTGCTGCTTCATTAGTGTGAGATTGGTTTGACAGCAAGATGTATGTGCATATCTAATGTACATGTGTGGGATGATTTTATTGTCAGTCAAAAAGAGGGGTAAGCAATTTAGTCTTCCTCATTTTGAGGACGTTATTGTTTCCAGGTACATGTTTTAGTTCTTTCCCCAGTTACTATCAGTGTATTTGTTTTGTTTTGCCTTTTTGGTAAGTACTTTATACTTCCCATTCTTAGTTTTCTCTAATTGCTAGCAAGGTAATGTTGTTCCAGTTAAAGGCTCAGAGGAGAAGCTGAACGAATAAGAGCACGTAGCCTCCAGAGAAGAGAGAGCCTAGTTCTCATGTCCATGTAATGCAGCTGCTGGAAAGAAGGTTTTCCTGTCCATGGTGGGAAGGACGAAGGAAAGGGAGACTCAAATTACTGTAAGGAAAGCAGGTTAGGCGTGAGAGGAGGTTTAATAGCAAAAATAAGGGAGTCTTAACATAGATGTCCCTGAGAGACTCTGCAACCTCTGCTTCTGGAGGCTTACAAGGGCAGATTAAATAGATACTTTAAAGAAAGAATTTAGGCAAAACCAGCCCTGCATTGGGATAGGGCAAAATTACGTCTCAAAGAACCTCCCAGATCTATGGATTCTGTGACTGATGCCAGCGTAAGAAAGAATTCTTTGAGAGAGTTAGTAATGACCCATGAGCTAGAGCATTGTCAGCCTGAGAGCTGACACTTGCATTTCAGCAGATTAGCTTGATTCAAGTTCTACTTTAAAAAAAGGTTTTTTTTCCAACATAAGATTATTTTATTTAAACAAAACTTTTATTTTAATATAGTGTAACTATACTGCAAAATTCACAATTATTGTACTAGTTATTTTTAAAGACATTCTTGGCCCGATGGATGTCCTTGAAGGAAGGAAGCCTTTCCTAGGAGAAGAGTGCTTGTTCTTTTTCAATAAAAGTTTATAAAATACCTATTTACTTTATAAAATACATATAAAATATATAACAACAGCATTATTTGACACTCAGCGTGGCATTAAACTATTTTCCTCCTTCATGAAAAGAACAAATTCCATATGGATGTTGCAGAAATCCCAAATATTCTGCAAATTGGTATCCATGGGAATGAATTCTGTTGTAGCATGGCTTAACAAATAACTTTAAAATACTTTTCAAATAAATCAGTATTTTATTTTTGTTACTTTTTGTAATACATTCTGGTAATATGCATAAAATTAGAGGTTACTGTACTTCACTTGTATGCAGCAGCCATTTTACCATGTAGTAATGATAAAGATTGGAAATTAACACTCATGCAAGTTCTTCTCGTTTAAAAATTTTCACATTTCTACTGTAAGAATTGAAAACGCTACGCATATCAACTTTTATAAACTGATATTATAAGCAATATTAGCTTTATAAATACTCTGAGAGGGCAGGTTAATTTTTACCTTACACTGCACTCAAAAATATAGAATATGCTATCTCTAGTGCTGTAGAAACCCAACTCATGTAGCATTGTTTTTATTTAAAGGGAAAACATGCAAGATAGCAAGTTTGGCTAAAATTTCTGCATCTGACCTAGAGTAGAATGTGCCCCAAAAATCCTGAAAAATGCTGGTGAGTTTGGGTTATTTAAAAAATAATCATAATAATAATAAGTAGTGTTGAATATCTTTGTGTTCTAGCTGGCCCTCAGAGGTTAGAGGGACTGGGGGCAGCTGGACTCATACAGATTTCAACTTCCTACTTGCTTCTCTGTTAGCTTAATAGATTGTAGTAAGTAACTCATTGTTCATATGACAGAATAACTGAAATAGCCATGCTCCTTTCACTGAGGTGATAATGGATGTCTTGGAAGTATTAGATGTTAACAGGAATGAGAAACATTGAGCTCTGCCACTCTGATATATTTTGAGATTAACCTCATTTTCTTTGATATTGCTTGATGTATTCAACATGGAGTGAAAGTTAGAATCCGTGAACTCTTTTTTACTGATAACTTGTAAAATATGTATTTGTTTAAAATTCTACATCCTGAATGTCATTGCATACTGCAAGCTCTTAATGCATGGATGATATATGCAAGGCAGTATCTGTGCTTAAGAAGTTGCTAGTCCTTTTACATCAATGCATATTATTAGACGCTTCCATAGTTTGACATGATAAATCTTCACTTTCTACAAGGCAAATGCATCTTTACTGAGTTCTCATTCACCCATTGCTCAAGCATTCATCCACTGGGTCAATACAAAATTGTGATGTTTTTAAAATGCAGCCAGTATCTGCATGCTGCCCTTATGCATTTTAATGCTATCTCAGAACAAGTGAAAAAGGGATTTGGAGTTCTTGTGTTCTTCCTGTACTCTTCCTTCGTCTGTGAAATGGAGAAATTCCTTTTCTTTAATAGAAGTACATAGACAAATATCTTTACAAATGAGTGTGGGTTTTTTATTTTTATTTTTATTTTTCCATCCTCGCTATTTCTTTTCCTGGGCCAAATCCTAAAATAAGTGGATTAAGTGTTGAAAATGAATGACAAAATTTAATGTTTTGCCTTAATTAGCATTCCATGGTAGTTTTATTTCCTGAAGCAAAATGAGAAGGAGATTGAATATCTTTACTGTAGCACCAAAACTGCCATTTATAAGTGAAAGAACCAGTAGACTCTATTAATTTACACTTTCTCGTTTTGTAGACCAGACCTCAAGACTGCTTCCAAACTGAGCTTTTAGTGCTTTGAGAAGACTTGCCTAAGTATGAAAAATATGTATATCTAGCATCCTAAAGCATTATCCAATTGCCAGAGTGGACAGTGTTCTAAATGGTGAAGAAAAACTTCTTGAAGTTTAAGGAAAGTTTCTACCCTGCAATTCCAAGAGGAGCTCAAGGTTTCTTAACTTTAAAGTTAAGATCTCTTTGGGTTACTTTAAGGCACCTATTTGTATAGGGCTTACTCAGGAGACACATACCCTTCTAGAATTGGAGCTGGAGGCTAAACAAGATTCCCAGTCGCATCTCAAACTATACTGAAGGTCTATCTGGACAACTGAATGGAGCCCTTCATGTCTGAAGTGCAGTCATCTGTATCTCCTTTACTTGTCTTTGCACTGGATGAAGATCTAGCTAGTGAAGTGTCTAAGACAGTTCTAAGCAAATGTAGACTCTTGGAATGAGGTGAATTGTGCTGCAAATTCCATTTATTATTTTCATCATACCTTCCCTGACTGTAAATAGATTCTAAGCTGTCTTGTGTAGCTGTAGAAGTTTCTCTGTAAGGGTTCAGAAAAGGGAGATCTTTTTTTTTTCTTTATACCTGATTAGATTATGGAGTTAACTGCAGAAGGATGTTAGGATCACCAAGAGTTCTTGGGTTCTTGGTTCAAGAATTTAAGGTTCAAAGACATACACCTACAAGTATGGTTTACAAAACTAGGGGAAGGTTCTGGTGAAGTTCATGCTTCAACATTGATTTGTAACAGTTAAGAATTACTTGTTGTATTGATGAATTGTTATACCTCCTACGTATTTCAGGATTTAAGCATATGACTTTTGACAAATGCATAGTGTTCTGAAATAGAGACCTCTTGTTCTGATCTGGGACTTCTGATTCATTCCTTTGTGCAGCAATTAGACAGGACAGCAGAGGTCCCGCTAAAGCTGCAGACATCTTCCTCTTACAGAACTTTGATCTTCTGGGTTACCAGTCTAGAAAGTGAAGACCCAAAGTGCTTTAATTGTCAGAAGTAGTACAAAGAAGTAGCAGTACCGAAGCAGTACAAAATATCAGCATCCTTCAGTCACCAGGATCACAGCATTTGTCATCCCAGCCAGTTTGTTGTCTTGTTCTTCTGTTGCCCTTTGCCTTATTTCAGAGACAGGCAGTGAAAGAGAGCAGCAGAATGTGGATGGAGGGGGAATTAATTTTTAAGTCCTTTGTGCCTTCAAATTCTGGTAGAAGTAACCAAATTAATTTCCTGGAAAGTTCTTGTGCTTTCAGCTAGTAGGTGGGCGTGGGGAGGGAAGACATAGTTTCCTGGAGGAAGTTTCCAACAAAATAACATCTCTGCCATGTGCCAGATGCTGGTGGTTAGTTGCTCTCAACAGATAATGAAAGCAGAGATTTTCAGTTAAGTTCATTAAAGATACAGACCTCAGACAGCAAGAGAGCTTCAGAAGAGCTTTACAGGGACAAAAAAGAAGGTGAAAAGATAGGGAAAGTGTTGGAGGGGACAAAACAGGGATAAAAATACCCCTAATTTTCTGTTTCCTTAGTGGCCTGCTTGTCTGCCTGCCAGATGTCGGAGACGAGTAATCAAAAAAGCTTATTCTTTAAGTAAAAATGCATTTCTCTAGTTTTGCTTTTTTGTTTGTTTTGTTTTATTTATAAGTGGTCTGTTAAGGCTTTTTTCAGTAGGTTTCATTGATAATGTTTTTGGACCTGATCAAAACTATTGAACCTGAAACTTTGAACCTGATCAAAACTATTAACACAACAGTGATTGCAACACTGCATGTTACCAAG